TTCATTATCTCAAATTGTAATATATCAAATGATTTGTTATTTTTGATGAGTACCTACCTTGTAACTTACTGGAAGGTCCTGGCAATCTTGAGAACACCCACTGACTTTCTTACTCAAACATTCATTTATATGGCAGTTTCTCTCATCTGAACCATCACCACAGTCATCCTTATTGTCACAAAGACCTCCATTGGAAATGCACCTGCCATTTTTGCACATAAAAAATGAACTGTTGCATGACTGTTCTGGAAAAAGAAATAAAACAAATGGAACATAAAGGGCATGCCATTGTTTTACACTACAATTGTAGAAAACAATCACAAATATGGTAACATGTCTGTCAAAAAATTATAATAAACATACATACAAAATGTTTTATATATTCAGTGTACTATTTTATACATAACATACAGAAAACCAAGGGCAAATTTTACTTTTGTGTTCAACACTTATTGCAAATATACCTTTACCACAAAAATTAACAATCAAAATAAACATCTATAGTAAAATTAGTGGACCATATCTGGCTCTTTCATATTGTGGAGAATGAGTTCAAAAGCATAATGATAGTTTGACATTTCCCTCAAGCCATAGGTCTCTGAGAAATTATATGTCACTAAAAATTAAGAATCTAGAATAGGTATATATGTCTAAAATCTTTTCTTCCTGGAAATATAACATTGACATTTTGAAGTCAGGGCATAAAAAGGACAGTTGTGGTGAATAATAGTTTTTCCAAATATAGGTATGGAAAGGAGTTCAGGTCTGGTAGCTATGCATAACTGGATGACTTGAACATTATTCATTATCATACATGCTAAAAGAAAGCCTATTAACATGTAAACTACATGAGAAAAAAGTAGTTGAGCTTATTCTAAAATATATAACTACATATTCAGTGTTCGAAATAGTGAAGTGATATATTGATCGAGTTTGTCTACAAATGTTCAAGTGACATGCAGTTTATTTCTTTTTGCTTAAGTATGAATCATACAGATTATTTATCAGTAAATTTTAACATTTTCTTTTATGTTTGAATTTTCAAACAGGCTCATACACTGAAATTATCCTCACATAAAATAATATATTAAGAAAAAATGAGTTTTGGGCAGTGGGGAGAACAGGGTGATGGATTCAGCAGGATCATTGCCTCAAGTCTTCATATATTTGGCACAGACTTAAATTTCTAAAACTAGCCCCAAAACATAGTTGATTACTAGGATCTTGCATGGTATCACTAGAAACGTCATATTCTTAATTATTTGCATTTTCTTTCACTGAATACTAGCAAAAAAATCAGTCGCGGTTTCACCATTAAAAAAGAATTTTGGAATAAATACAGTGTTATATATATTTCTGTACCTGCAGTTTTGCACTTTGGGTTTAAAGGTGCTTCATCAGAATGGTCAGGGCAGTCAAAGTCACCATCACATTGCCATTGAGTACTTAGAACACATCGCCCATCGGCACAACTAAATTCTTCTGCACCACACTGTCGGTATCCTAGAGACAAATAAATAAACATTCTGATTAATTCACATCATACAGATTCATTAAAAAAGCCATCCCCTCAATGCACACCATACCCAATTAATGTGAGTTACCCATGTCTCCTATGGGAAATGTTTTTCATTTCTTTCTGTGACAGTGGCCATAGTTGTAAGGGATATTAGTGGTTTGGAAGTAGGACTCAGACCCAGAAAATAAAGTTGGAAACAAGGCCCTCATTGTTTCTAGGTGAGGAAATAAGAGAGCAACACTTGACTTTACCATTTCTCTTTAACCTTGTATATATCCTAGTGATTTCTTTTTGAATGGAAAAGAAAATGAAAGTTAACAGAATTAGCTTGGTTAGGTATAACATCAGAACATAAGGCTCAACTGATTCTGAGCTATAATGATAATTCTCGAAAGCTGTAATGTCATATTTATGTTTGGGAAGCAGCATTCAATGTGTAAAGAAACTCTTAAAATGAGAAAAATTTAAAAGTCAATTTTTAGAGCAATAAGCACAAAAACTATTATAATTATCCTATATATTGATTCTTAGGGTCATTAAAAACTTTACTCAAATTATAGAATAAACCTATCATTTGTTAATGTTCATATCTATGCTTATTTGTAAGTAAAACTCACTTGATTTTCAATATTAAGTTTTAGAATGGATTTTTTCCTAAGTTTGCCAACAATAAGAACAGTTATTCTTATTAGCACTTTCTGATAAATCTGGGCAAATGTTCTATTTTGGGAGGGAGGAGGTAAGACTTTCATGGCTTAGAAAATAAACAAAATCTTAATATAAAAATAACTTAATAATTAGTATTTAATTAAAATTCTTATTATATAGGAATGGTAAAACCAGATAGCTCTAATCCCCGGTTTATTTAGTATTTCTTCCTTCTTTTTCTTCTTTCTCTAGCTCCTTCTCCTCAGTCAATAAATACATTGACATCTCACCCAGACCAATAACAACAAAAATCCATCTACACACCTCTTAATAGCACATTTTTCTTCTTCCCTATACTGCCCAATTTTGCTTCCCCTTAGTTACTTCCAGTTCATCTTTGGTCAATCAAAATTTCATTTCTGCAACATATACCTTCTGAAATTCCTCTTAGAGATAACTAACACCAAATGCCAAGTGTCAAATTCAAAAGTGTCTCAGACTCCTATTTTCTTCACTTTTCTGTAGCATTTGATGCTTTTGACCACACAAATTTAGAAATAGTTTCCTGAGTTAATATTCATAATCTACTCTCCTGGACTTTGTTCCAACCTAGCTTTGCTGTTCCCGTCTTTTCCTCTTTCTGTATAAAATCCTCTCATGTTCCACCCTAAAATGTTGCTGGTGAAGCCCTAGTTTCAATCTTCAGTCTCTTATTTTTCCTAGTTTTCTTTCTACATTGTCTAGGTGTTCTCATTCCTTGAGATAGCTTAAATGTCACCTTTATGCAGACGGCCACCAAATTAATATTACTTGTCCTCATAGCACTTCTTCTCTTTAGAACTAAATTTTAAAATACTCACTATATACTGTATGTGATTGTCTGATTAACACTTCATATTCAAAAGATCCACAGTAAATTCTTTATTAATCTCACATCTCATCAACAAAACTGGCTTTTAACCTCCTGTATTCTAAAGCTCATTAATAGCAACACCACCCATCAAGTCATCCAAGCTAGAATTTTCCTTTATCCTCCATATCCAGTTGTAAATGAAATCTGACACCTTCCATTCCACCCTTCCCAACCTGGTTCAGAACCACATCATTAATCATTAGAACTATCTCAATAACCTCCTAACTATTCTATTTTCCCTTTATGGCCCCCTTGCTCCGTGACAATATTTCTCCCACTCTGCTGAAAAGGATGTTTCTAAAACATAAATTTGACTGTGACATTCCATTCCCCTGTTTCAAAATCTGTGCTGGTCTCTGAGAGGCAAAATAATTAAATACAATTTCTCTAACATTGTATTTCAGACTTTTTCAAATCTAGCTTCAACTTAAGTTTTTAACTTCAATTTACCTCACAGAAAATTAATTGCTATTCCTCAACCGTGTCGATTTATAGGTCTTTGTAAATGCATGTCGAATTTACTATGTGCCTGGAACTATTCTAAGCACTTTATAAATATAAACCCATTTAATTCTCTTAACAGCCCTAAGTGTTAAGTGCTGTTATTATATATATTTTACACATGAGGAAACTGGTACAGGGAGAGGTGAAGTTACTTTCTCAAGATCATGTAGCCAGAAAGTGGCAGATTCAGGATTTGAACCCAGGCTGTCTGGATCCAGGGTCCATGCCTTATTCTAGTATCTAACTATAATTTGCTCGATTCCTTGCTTCTATTCTTTAGTACCTCTTTCAAGAATTATTTTCTCAGCTCTGATGCTATGTATTGTGATCCTTATTCCAATTTGACAAATTATGTTATTATACTACATTATATTTCTGATTTTCCTGTTTCTCTGTGCTTTCTCCATGTGGGCCTCTGTCTCACTTTTCTCTGTATCAACCAAATTCTGTGTCTGGTGGAAGGGAGATATTCAATCAGACATATCTCTGTTTCAGATTTATAACTTGAGTTACGTAGCTTTTAAAATATCATATTGAATGCAAGACTTAATGGTGAAATGATCATAAAAATTTATATCCACTAATTTCAATGAGATTCATATCAAAGACCAGGACCATACATACTGCACAAGGGAGGACAAGGGGAGGCATTAAATCTGTTGCCTTCCATAGGCATATACAGAATTTATAGCTTTTCATTACATATATTTATTCACGTATATACATTTAAATATTTTACAAAAACACTAGGTTCACATAAGATTTCAGCTTTAACTGGGCATCTTTAATATACTTATTTTAACATGAAAGCTATATACATGTATATATTATATATATGATGGCTAGGTAAATATATATGTAATGGCAAGATAAATTTCACGATAATAATATTAAACTTTAACAAATCAGTGAATGCATAAAAAGACAAAAGTAAGAAAAACATTAAATATCCAGTTTTTCTGATAATTCTTTCTAGATGTACTCACCACACTGTAGTGACTCATCAGAGCCATCTCCACAGTCATCATCATGGTCACAAACAAATTGCTTGGGAATGCATACTTTATTATGGCACATGAAAGCGTTTTCATCACATGTATTATTGGGAGCTAAGAAAGACATTCCAAATAATAACAATAGATAAGCACACAGTTTATCTTCTCCCATATGAGGAGTTTAGGAAATATATAAAATTGAACCCCATAATTTATACTTATTCAGAAAAAGAAAACTTTGTTTAATGTCTAATATATCAAATGGGTTAATAATTGCATACATATTAGAATGCATGAATATGAAAACATAAAAGTCTAAGTTTTAGTATTAATAAAGTCAATTATTCGAGAGTGATCCAGAAATTTCCAGCCACATAGCAATTTGTAAGTTTGCTTAAGGAGGAATTCAAATGTTCATGTAATGTTAGAAAAAGATCTCTCAGCTAATAGTATGACTTGGGTTTTTTCTCTACTCAGGCCTACAGTAATGCTAGTAAAGTGGTAAAAATGTTTCTTCCTTGTGAAAAATGTACCTGAAAAAACCAAGTGCTGACGTTCATAATGGAAATGAAAAAAGAAAACCAAGAAGGCTGAGAAAGTTACTGTCTTTAAAAAGAAAATAAAACTTAGAGTGACTTCAAGAGTGGGATGTTGAAGTAAGCAAATGTAAGACCTTTGAGATAATGAGCCTCACCACAAGTACTACACAAAATTAGGAATATTGACCCATGAAATGTAATATTGATCCTTTAGGAAGACTGATCCATGAAAGCAGTGCTCCACCAAGTGGGAAAAATGGTTGATCCAAATGTGCAATAAAATTTCAGCAAAAGTTCAAAAGAATATAACTTGTATAAAGGAAATAAACTTTAATTTTCTATGCATAGAATCATAACAGACTTGAGTGAATCATTTATATTTTTTTCAAAAAATATTTAAAGGATAAATGCTGTGATAGGACTCAGGTTTGGAATATTACAAATGATAAAAATCTTCTATATGTTATTGTGGAATACAGGAAAGAGAAAGTCTTCGCAGATATTGGCTCTACCACTTATATTTGCATACTTGAGGAAGCTATTTACCTTCTTGGTGAATCTGTTTCTTTATCTGTTTAATGGGGATAATAAAATCTATCTGACAAATTTCTGGTAAGGAGTAGATAAGGTATGTGAAGCAGATCCCATTTGAGTTACTCAGTAAATTCTTAAGTGCTCTCTAAACTCCTATCTATATTATAACCATTTTTGGCAGATTCCCTAAAACACGTCCCTGTAATATTATAGGACTTCTATAATATAAATAACAGCAACTAGCATAATAATTGGCATGTAATGAGTACTTGAAAAAACTTAGGTGCCTTCCATATTCCCCTTCCATGCTTCTTAATAAGCACTTTCCTCTCCATGGAATATCTTTATTTTTCTTTGTCTTTCAAGACTCAGATAATGTTATCACTTTTTCTTGAAATCTTTCCGTGAGACTTCTAAGATTTTTTACATAACATTTCTTTGTGATGACCTAGTACATTTTATATACATCATCCTAACACTTAAGGTAGAGTTATTATTATCTTTCACATGCCTATCAGCTGCCTGCCCCATGCTGCCCCAGACTCCATGAACCAAGGAATCTCTGCTTTCCTCTCAGTAATTATTAACATAGAGTAGGTAAAACAAAAGAGTTTTTTGAATTGGATCAGGTATAATTTATTTTCAACAAATTTTTTTTAAAAATTATATGGAAACCACACAGGAGTCGCATTAACAATTAATTAGCTTGTTGTAATCAAGATAAAACTCAAAGTTACTCAATAACTCCTCTAACTTTGAACTATATGACAGCTTGGATAACTCAAGTGAATTATGCCAATTCTAATACATGAATTAATCTTTAAAACACTGAGCAACAGTGACTTATTTGGCATTAACACTTTCAGGTCACTTGAGTACAATTTGCTGCATTTTAGCATAATTTACTTAATTGTACCCATGTGGTCCAAAAGTGTTAATATGCCTCCTAGAGTGTTAACTTGCTACAATAGCAATAGCATACTGGGACCATCTGGATCCCTGAATTTATGCATAATGCTTTATTATGTAGTCCTCAGTGGCCCCATTGACCTTTACAGACACATATATCAGTTTCAAGATCAAAATGAATTATTCTACAACAATAGTATGAGCTCTGTGCAAATAGGCCTGCCTCAAAGTTTTATTCTTTCTTTTCTGCTCTAACTATCCCTTGTCTACACACACCCGCATACGTACGCACTTACATTGTGGCTTCAAATACAATGTTTTAAAGGCATGAAGACAGGCCATTGGAGACATGATTGGAAGCATTCCTTTTAATGAGCAGTGTTCACAGCACTTTTCTGATAAACTGCTCAGCCCAACAAACCCCCTATGTAACCTTTGGATTTGCATTCAAATAATCATTCCCTTCATTCTCCTGATCATGCAAAGGAATTTATCTAAATTTTTGCTATTGAATAAGTCCCTGAAAGTTTCCTAAGGTGACCTAGAGTCAGAAACTTAGTAAATTGCCTGACTTCCAAAGGTGTTCCTCTGATCCCTGAGCTTCATTCAGCTATATCCATACAATTTTTACCTGACCCAAGGGTTAATATCCTATCCATAGGACTAATCGTTGTTTACTGACCTCTGGATCAGTAGTTATTTAGGATCAGAGAGCCATTTACAGAGTATCTGTAATAGGCAATCTAAAAGCCACCATGGAGGGTGGTGATGGAAGACGTGAAAAATACCAAACCTACCACACTCACACACGCACATAGTGTATTATATTATCTCAGAAGTGAAATGATAAATCTGTGTTCATCAAAATGATTTTAAAATGGCTAATCCCACTGTATATGTTTGAAACACTCTGAACAGAGGTTAAAGGGGTTATGGAACTACTATGATAACAACCTCCCACCTGATAAGTCTAATGCTATGGGTCCGGGGATTGGGAAAGTAATGGAAAATGTGATATGGTAAGTCTACAAAAACAAACATCCAAGGATGCTGCAGCAGTTTTCTTTGATATACAGTCCCAGCAAGTGTTCATACCACAGCCGGCTGTGGAAAGCTCATCGCTTCCATTTGGACAGTCCCTTTCACCATCACAAAGCCAATGTCGGGGCACACAGGCGTGGGAGCCCTGGCAGCTGAACATGTCGGCAGCACAGGTTACGGCACCTGGAACCCAAAGAGAAAATGCCATTAAGACTACTGTGTATCTGCTGGAAAATGTCTACCGTTTATATTTTCTATAGTAATGAGGGAAAGCAGAAGAATGTTTCTTATAAGGAAGAGACCATAGTTATTTGGCATCATAAAACATTATTCTTAAAAAAAAAAAATTCGTTACCTGTAGTTGTCTACACATTTTTGTGGAAGAATGTATTCTTTCCTAATTACTAGTGTTATATTTCTTAAAGCTACATGGTAGAAAATATCTGTTATCCTTATGAAATGTAGCAAAGCATAGAAATATCATATTAATAGAATTGTGAATAAACTGAGATAAGATTTCAAAAGAACTGAATCTTTAAGAATAATTATAATAGTAATAATAATACCATTTTTATTGCTGACCATGTGCTAAGCCCTTAACATACTATTAATAACTCATTTAATCCTTTCAATACCCCATCCAATAGAATTACTATTAGCTTCATTTTACAGAAAAGGAAACTGAGGCTCAGAGAAATTGAAAATCTTATAGAAAGTCACAAGTGGCACAGGGTTCCATACAATGAACCGAGTGAGAGTCCAGAACCCTTCTTATTCCTAAGCACCTTCTTCTCTTAACCAGTAATGTCATTATTGTTAGCCCCATCTTAGGTTGCTGAAAAGAATAAATGCATACATGTTCCCTTTGTTTTTATACACTTAAAACAATTGTTCTACCAATGTATTCTCCCTTTAGTTGCATGATATTGTTTTTCAAATGTATGCAACAAAAAAATGTGTGTCGACTTTGATTATAAATTCAAAGGGTCATAGGTAGTTTCTCTTTTCTTCTCCTTATATGAGTATAAGGTAGTCATATGTCAAATGACTCTTTCTCATGATGTTTTCCTATCTCCTTGAACAGTTGTTTTTACTAAATGCTTGGTTTGCTTGTCAATTTTTTTCTTTATATAAAATACTATTTGAGTGAATCAGTAGAATAACCACCAATCTAACTTGGTTTAATTTTCACTTTCTCATGACCCAAAGCTGCCCAGAATAAATGCTAAACACCATATTTTTTTTTTAGAATTATTAAAAATAGTTTACTATGTCCAGGAAGAAAATCAGTGACCAGATTGATGGGAAATGTTTGTTTCTAACCATTTAAAGTAATGACCAATGTGATTTAATTAAATTATCATTATCTTCTTCCTTTTTAGCCATAGAGTTGTTAGAAGCAGAAAATGCAATGCAATGTTTTCAATATGGCTGGCAGTGGAGTGTCAAAATAAAACCCACTGGGCATCTTTTCCATCATAAATATATCTGCCCTTAACATATACCTTAATCTGGATGAAAGGATGGCAAGTGAATGTTGAAAAATCCCCTGATAATTCAGATTTGCTCATTTGATTGAGCATCAGTGCTAACAGAATGCAGTTTAATATGGTGTCTATTACTGGTAGAAATCAGAAAATAATCTATCAAATAAATGTTGTTTTCATTTAAAAATTAATTTACTTGCTGATTATTATATCTTTAGTACCTTACATAATAATACTCTTTCAACGAAAAATACTTTCGTATTTTTCCTCTCATGTATCTTTTCAAACTTGCCATAAAAACATAAAGTGTAATTTTACTATTATATTCTCAATTCAATGCTTTAATTTTTGTAATATTTTTATTATTTAGCTTGAGATCTTTTTAAACTACTTTCTACTAAGGAAGTTTTGATAAATGTAGAACTCCTTGTCTACTGCCATATTATAACTCTTATTTGTTCCCAAGGTAATCATAATATTAATAGAAAGAGCCCTGATTTGGCAGTGGAGAAGTTTAATTCTGTATGACCTTGTAGAAGACTAATGTCTGAATTCTCTATCTTTAAAATGATGGGTATGACTAGATAATTACTAAGATATCTCTAGCTATAAAATGGCATTAGGCTCTTTGCAGCTAATTTTCTGGCTCCCTTGATAGTGTTCAACAGATTCTGTGTTAAGAACATGCCAAAACATTACAGTCAATTGGGAAGAAAATGGGCCAAAGAAAAAATTCACGGCTTCATTCCTTAGTTACTACTGCCTTCTGGAGACATATTGCCTTCCTCAGGGAAAAGAATCGCAAAGGAAAATAAAGACAAACTGATGGAATTCCACTAGATTACCTTGTGCAACTACTAAGATAGTAATATGTGATTGGTAAGAGTTACTATTCTATTTAGTATTTCAGAAACCTGAATTATGATGATACTTCTGTCATCACTAATTAGCTGAGTGATCTCAGGCAAATTTACTAATCTTTGTAAGTGTTTCTATTTTTCACTATCAAAAGATGAGGTGAACTAGACATGGTTTTCAAAATGGGATCCTCAATATCCCAAGTCAGAATCATTGTGTGCTTATTAGAAAAGAATGTGTTTACACACCGCCGCAGAATATTTGGAGGTGGAGAATGACGAACTACTTTTCACAAATTTCTGAGAAGGATCTTTTGCACACTAAAGGTTGACAACAACTGAGATAAATTATTTGTAAGGTTCCTTTCCTATTCTAAAATATTAGGTTCAGTTCATTGACTGACGGTTGGTCTAAAGCGGTATTTTTTTAAGTGTGTCACAAAGCTTGGTAGTTAGTACATAAAAGACAGATGGTAATTAAATAAATTTGGTGTTTTGATAATAGGTAAACATGTCCATTACCACTTTAATCTTTTATAAAAAGCATTATTGGGACACTGATA